TCAGAAAGGAAGCCTTTGGTAGAGTAAACTCAGGCTTCCTAACTTCTAAAATTCTTTTTTTTCTGAAGATTTCTTTTCCAACCAAGTGAACGACAGTAAATGAAGGCCAGGGGGGTCACCCTTGGAGCCAAAGTTTGCAGCTGTTTGAGCTTCTCTGTTTTCCCAGGAATTAAAGATTCTGCATCTCCAATTCCTGTCCCACCCTGATTATGTAATACATTGGGGGAGGCAGAAAAAAGTAAAGCCTGAAGCATCTGAGACATGGATTAAGTTGTACAGGGAAGTCATGCAAAGCCCTTGGAGCCAGGATTGAGTCACCAGGAGAAAATTCGGTACGACTGTGGATAGCACCAGTGTCCTGAACTATGATGAAAATGTGTTCCCAGAATTATGCAATAAGACTGTCCTGTCAAGAGCATCCTTCCTTGTGATGCTGTCTTTACTATAATCCAATGCTCTGTGGGACTCCTCTGAATCCTTTCATTCATAATTATTTTATTCCCTGGCAACAAGTCCTATGGCTTTAGTGCCAAGTGCAGCACTCGGGACGAAAGCTACAGAATGTCTGCTTCTTTTATGCCAAGACTATAAATAACTGAGTGTAAGAAGGTAATAGAAATATGTGTCTTTGTGGCCACATAAAATAAGAAATCTCTACTGTACGCTTAACTACATGCCAAACAGCATCTGAACACTTCTAATATCTATTGCTTGGGCTTCTACATCTTCCTTGTTATAGCTGAAGGACTGGGTAAGCATGAGCTTACCCAGCTAAGGGAACTACACTGAAAACTAAGCTGTGGCTTAGGACATCTGTCCTCCACCACTCTAATCAAGAACTTGAAGCATCTGCCTTCAAAACAAAACAAAGGACAGTACAAAACTGTTTGTCCATTTTCCCATAATGTAGAAGGGAGGGAAATAGTGTACTAGTATAACTCTCCTCTTTGATAGATGATCAGGATGAAATTTTTAAAAGGAGGAGATGAAGAGAAGGAGGAAGAAGAGGAGGAGGAGAAGAGCAAGCAGGGAGGGGAAGAGAAAAAAATCTTAGCCAGAAGACCTAGGATGTCCTTAGCCACTAAGAAGGGATTGCTCTCTGCATGTCTTTAGCCCTTTACACCTGTCAAGGATCAAACAAGATATAAATGTGCACTGTGGCGTATTCAAGGGACTCCCTGGAGTAGATTGGGACTACAGAAAGAGAAGCAAACATATCCCTTTTGAAGTTTGTTCTAACTCACATTCATTTTTTAACATTTTATTTATTTATTTTATGTGTATGAGTATATTGCCTGTATGTATGTAAAGTGCACCCATGTCATGGAGTGCCCAAGGAGGTCAGAAGAGAGACTTGGAATCCCTGGAACTGGAGTTATGGATACTTGTTAGTGGCCATGTGGGTGCTGGGAACTGAACCTGGGTCTTCTGCAAGAGCAGCCAGTGCTCTCAGCCACTGAGCCATCTCTCTAGCTCCAAACTCAGGTTTAGTTATGAAGCATTTTATGCATATTAGCTAGTTTAATGACAACATCAGTCCAATGACTTCAGTGGCAACCTTATTCCTATTATGTAGACAATGAAACTAGACACAGGAAATAGACCACTTCTATTTAGGAAATAAGTCCTTGCTAGGACCACGAAGCTAGCAAATGGGCCTTAGACTCCAGCACAGGTATCCTGGACATTTTCCCAGCTCCATGGTCTTCCTTGATGAACCATCTGGGACTATCACCATCTCTGAGCTTCTCCACCCACACCCTCTTCTCCACCCGGGCTTTGACCACCCACCCAACAGTACTGCCACAAGGAATATACATAACAAAGAAATCCTGGAATTACATACAAGAAGAACCTTGAGGATTTTCAAAACCTTTTTCCTTGCTCAAGAGATCAAAGGACCTCACATTGAGAGAGCAAATGTTGAGGAAAAGGGCAAATAAAAGAGAAAAAGTTCACACTTGGGGCTGAGAAGCAGATGGTTACAGAGTGGGATAGAATAGGGACTTCATTACCCACAGACCTGGTGGCCAGGGATTAGGAGGGTTGGCTCCTCAGACATACTGACAAACTTTCAGCCAACCCTAAGAATTCTCAAGATTAGAAAGAGAGATTTTTCTTTTCAGAACTAGAGATATTTTTGTAAAGACTTCCAAAGTTTGCACACACAAAAAAACGACCTATCTGAGAGGTGTGGAAGAGCTGATGGGTGAGAAATTTTGGCATTTATTTTGGAGAGTTTAACAACAAAAACCACCGATTTGAGTCAATTGAAGCAAAAATGTGTTTTTATTTGTTTGCCAGTCTCTCTTTCATCATCTATGAAAAGAAAATACACTGTGGTCTTTTTTTCTCCAAACATCTTCCTGTATGTAGACCTGTTCCAGGGCCTCGGGGTGGAAGTAGGACTCATTCAAGCAGGAGAGTACAGTGTATTCCTGAAGGATGTGGATCTTTGCATCTATGGAGATGGGAGGCTCTGATTCACTGTGGATTATTTTGAGCCTGCCTCCTGTTAATGAAGAATTGATTTGCCCCTCACCTTCCCTGGAGGAATCTAGTGGTTTCTTCTGCTCTGACCAAAAATCAAAGGCTCCAGCCTTTTGCTTCTCTCCTGGCCCCTCTAGTACCCTTCCCCCAAGACCTGTCAACCCAAGTCTGAGAGCCAGTCCCACCATTCTTGTGGTCCAGCTTTGCCCTAACCACTGCTCCTCCCACTCCTGTCTTCCTGCACATTTGTGCAAAGTGGGTAAAAGTTGGAGGCTCCACAAATACCCCAACCTGAAGGATCTATCCAGTTCATATTACATGGCTTCAAGCAGAGGAATTTTGTTTCCACAGACTCTTGCTCTGTCCTCTCTGTCAATGTGACCCCTTTGGGGAAGCCAAGCTTGATGGCAATTTCAATTAAAAGCAGAAAAGCAGTTAATAGATTTTTTTTTTTTTTTAAGAGAGGGCAGGAAAGCAACCACTGGGAAAGCTGGCTTCCTCTTGCAACACTTCTCTTCCTCTCCAGCCGGGCTGTGCAATTATTGATAACGTTGCCTCTCGCCTAATGGCACCAATTTCATGAGGAAACAAATGCTCAGCGTTCCTTACATGCAATCAGTCCTTTTCGCTGCCTGTCTTTTTTCCAAAGGTCACGAATTAGACAGATGAGGGGGGGCAGATAAGACGTCCTGCCTTCTTCACCGCTGCACCCTCTGGGTATGGTCTGGGTCCTGGAGCTTAGAGGCTCCTGGGGTCACCGGAATCAATAGACCAGGCCCAGAGTTTAGAGCAGCATGTCATTTCAATAGCACCACGGGAATGGTGAGCTACAGCGATTTGCTGGCAGCCCTTGAGTTTCCAGAGGCCTGGCCCCCTGCCTCTGCGGACCAAAGTTTTGCCGGTGGGATCAGCAGGGAGACAATAGTTGCACCCCCGGGCGCGCTACTTGTTTGGAAGGTTGTTTGGAAAGCGGTAGGCTTAGAGGTAAAAAGGTCAGCGCAGGATCCCAGTGTACCTCACCGCCTCTGCCCACCCCAGGCCCCGATGTCCACTCGATCGTCAGCACCTTCCTCCCCTACATCCCGAGCCTCTCCATTCCCTCCAGATCCCTTTGCAGCCCTTCTGCGGCCACCTCCTTCCTGCAGTCCATCACTCACTAGGAGACCTAGGGCGTTCACCTAGAGATACAGTCAAAAGGCATTAGGAGGAGGACTGACGGTGGCTGACTACAACAGTCTCAGGCACTCTCGATGTCCCCATTGAGTGCGTGGAGGGGCCACTGGCTTGGGCTGGGAGCATAACCTGTGTGCCAGTAGGGAATTTGTCAGCAACCCGTCCTCTTTCTCAGCATGGGATATTGAAAGGCCCCAAGCCTGTCTAGAGACCACTGCATGCCAGACCTTGCCCTGGGTGGAAGGGAAGGAGTTGAGAGGTAAATTAAAGAAGCAGAGTCCCCTCTGTCTTTCCCCCAAGTCCTCCTCTTACACCCTCCTCTGAACACTTTAAACAGACCTGGTTTTCTCCTTTCCTGCCTTTCTCTTAAGACCATCTCAGAACTGTCTCACTCCACCATCTTCCCCATGTCTAACTGGATTCTCCCAAAGACCAGTGGGCTGCTAGGTATCGGGCAGGCAATTCTGCCTACTCTGGGACTGATTCAGGCCTTCTCTTTATTCGGCTCAAAATCACAGCTCTTTCTGGCTCAGCCAGCCAACAGGCTGGGAAGAGTTAGAGGCCTCCTCCACCCCTAGATGGAGAAGCAGAAGCAGGAAGGAAGAGTAGGAAACAGATTTTATTGAAATGAGGTAGTTGCAGACACAAATAGAACCTGGCTTGCTTGGGGCTTGGCTTTCCAGAAACTCCAATGGCTTTTCCATTGTCTCCAAGGTTCAGAGAGCTGCTGGGAGTTCTTTCACCTTTCCTGGACCTCCCCAAGCTGCCCCCAGGAGTAGGGGTGGAGACAGAAAGCAGGTTCCTAGACTTTTCAGTAGGCAATAAATAGGGGGGAGGTGAGTGAGGGGTGCCCACCCCTTCCTGGTTGAGGCTTGCTGGAGGCAGTCTTTACAGTGTTACCAGAAGTCTCTCCAGTGCCAAGTTCCAAAACACTTTGGTGATTTAGTGGTGAGGTTGCTAGTGGGAAGAGACGGGTCTCAAAAACCAACCTTTAGAGGCTGCATCAGTGCAACAGAAATGTGCCAGGAACTGTTGAGCGGGTTGCTTGGGGACGGGGGCTTTTTGGTCTGGCTCAAGGCAGCTGGTGCTATTGTAAGGTCTGTGGTGACTGGACTGGATTAAGGATTGGTGGTCCTTAATGTCTGCACTCAAACACATCCCTCACAGGAAAATCCAAGGTCTTTCTCTAGCCCCGATCTAGAAGAGGGACTTCGGGTAAGAGTGCGCAAGGAGAATCCAGCCAAGCTCAAAGGCACTGAACTGAAGTTGAAAGGAAAGTTGAATCCGGGAGGATGGGCTGGCTTCTGTCCCTACCCACGTGTTGACATTGAGCCAATCTCCAGATCAAAGGCAGAAGCCCTTCCTTCCACCTTTGATGGGTAAAGGGGTTTCCTAGGCCTCTGGATCAGTAGGATCCCCAGCTATCAGCCCCTCCACCCCCAGATCTGAGAAAAAAAAATGTTTCCCCTCGCCTGCCCCACTTCCTAGGCAGCTCTAAACTGGTGTCTGGGCCTCGAGGTGAATCACCAGGGCTGTGAAGTTACGGAGAGTCTAGGAGAGAGCTGGGTTGGTGCGCTCCTGTGCTGGAAGCTGGGTTAGTGAGGAAGCTCAGTTCAGGAGGTGATGGAGCTGGGCGAGGCTTCTGGGGAGGTGCATGACTGGTCGGAGGCATCGCCAGCTGCTTCCTTGGGACAGCCTGGGGGGGCTGAAGGCGCCCGGCCTCCCTCTCGCTCGCGCTTCTTCTGCTTCATGCGCCGGTTCTGGAACCAAATCTTTACCTGAGTTTCATTGAGCTCCAAGGTGGCGGCGATCTCCACCCTGCGGGCCCGGCTCAGGTACTTGTTGAAGTGGAACTCCTTCTCCAGCTCCGTCAGCTGGCGCGTGGTGAAGTTAGTGCGGAGGCCCCCGGGAGCGCTCAGTCCCAACTCCGACACCTTCGCTAGGGGCGGGGCGGGGAGAAAAGCCACGTCAGTTCTTTCATCTCCCTCCCCTCCATTCCTCCTTGCCCACTCGGTACCCTCCTTCACTACTCTGCTCAACTTTAGTGCTCACAGATCAACAGTCATCCCCATAGTAATTTCCAATTCTAGAACCACCACCCGGTACTCACATCCAGGCACATGGAAGTGGGGCACAGATGGAGACACCTGCGTTGGGGGGGGTTGGGGGGCACACTTACTGGATAGGGAAATCTCACCTGACCAGAGCCGGAAGAATGTAATTACCTGCCTCTACCAGAACTGAAAGAGAACCCAGCCCTGACCCAGGACCCGCGCAGGGACGACTGGGCTTCCAGGCCAAGGAGAGGAAGTGGCCACTTCTGAGCCCTACCTGTCTTAGGTGGATTTCTCTTAACCTTCATCCAGTCGAAGGTCTGGGCGGTGAGAGTGCTGGGTTCTGACGGGCAGGATGATTCCTTGTCCTCAGAGAGGAGATCGGCATACGCGGGTGCAAAGTTGGCAGTCTGCTCATTTCCGTAAGGAGGCTGCGGGGGAGGGTATGGCCCTGGGCCCACTCCTCCCGCTCCATAGCTGTCGGGCAAACCCCCTAGCTGGGCTCCGTAGCTCGACGGATGAAAATAGCTTCCATCTCCTTCCGACTGACTCAGAGGGTAATATTGAGATGGCCCAGGCCCATAACTAGGGTTGCAGGCAGCTGGGGCGTACCCCGAGGGAGCGGAGCTGGGAAAGGACACCCCCAGGGCTGAAGGCGACTGCTGGACAGGGTAGCCAGAGTTTTGTTGGAGCGCTGGACTGGGCAGCCCCCCACCATAGCGGCCTTCGCCTGCATAGCTGTCAACCGCCGGAGCTGAGCTGGGGGGAAAGGAGGTCGGGGCGCTGTAGGTGCTGGGTCCCCGGGTACAGAGTGGGTACTCTAAGAAGGAGTTCATCCTATTATAGTCCATGCGTAGAGGCCGCAGGAGGGTCGGGCCGTTTGGGGGAGACACCCTCTTGCCCTACAACCTTTCGGTAGTATGTCACAGCGCTGAGGCTTGCGTCCATGGCCTGGGCCAGCTCGCCTGGGCCGGAGCTCCCCTAGGAAGGGGATAGAGAGTGGGGGTGGGGGGGCACATGTGATCTCTCCCAGGCCAATGGGCTAAGCGGGCCAGAGTTTGGCAGCCCCAGCGCCCATCCATCACCCCCCAAGCATTAGCATGACAAAGACACTTCAATCACCCTCAGCCCATCCATCTGAGAGCGACGTGGAAGCGTCAAAAACATCTTTCTTCAAAGACTTTTGGGAAGAAGGGACCAGAGGGAGAGGGGGGGAGAAGTTGGAGGAATATTCAAGAATTTACTCCCCTCCCAACCCCCAAGGCCTTCAATAGGCTCCTGGATTATTAGATTTGGACAAATTCAACCCAGCTGCCCCTTCTTCTCACCCCTCAAAGAAGCCTTCCCCCACCCCAAGGCTGTAGACTTAGAGATGGGGAGATCCAGACTTCCTATTTTGCCCAGAACCCTTATTCCATGTTTCTTTCTCCCAGTTTGTCTTGAGGTGATGGGTTAGGGAAGCCTGGTGAGGTATGTTATCTTGGGACAAATGGATGACTGGGAAGGGAGGGAGGTGTGAGGCAAAGTCTAAAATCCAGAATTCATTAAGTGAGGGGTGGGAAAATTGCATTTCAAGGGAGCAAGGCAGGACTACAGAAACGTGGAGAGGAGAGAAACCCCATTCCATCTCTCTGCATTAATGCTCTCTCCTCATTCACACATCCATTTCTCTCCCTCAGCCTCTCTTTGTATTCTTTCTGTCGCAATCCATCTCTCGGTTCGTCCATCTCTCTCCATATTTATATTCCTTCCCTACCTATCCATCAACTCATCCCTCTGGATGTATTTATCCCCCCTCTAGCCATCCATAGCTGTAGCTGGCTCACTCACTCAGACTTAAATAACTCCCTATATGTCTCCAGAGAGCAGCAGTGAGCAGAACTGGGTGATACAGGAGAATGAGGAGGAAGGGAAATTTTATTCTCTTTTCCAAACATTTAAAACTAGTAGACACCCAGTATTCCTCTGGTCCTGGCCTGCCCCTCTCTCCTAATTCACCTTCCATCTCTTAATGCTAGTAAAGTTTAAAATTACTCAAATTTTCCATGAATATTCTAGGATAGATAAAGGAAGGGAATTTAGTTTCCTCACGGAATGGGAGACTGGGTGTGGAGCTCCTGGGGTCCTGAATTCTAAGCTAAGGCTAAGGAATGGAACTTCATCTCTTTTTACTCTGTTGGGTTATCATTGGGGGAGGGGAAACAGGAAGTGCTTTTCTCTCTCAGACCCTAGATTGGATTAGAAGAGAAGCTCATAGGTAGAGCCCAGTGATTCTCCTTAGACTTTGAGGACAAGAATCTAACACCCACACTCATTTGTAACTTGTCAGGGTGTCTGCCTGGTCAGAGGTCTGGGGAAGGAGCTAGGGCAAGTCCAGGAGGGCAAGAGTTCAGGGAAGGATCTCTGTAAACAATGGAGGGCAGGAAAGGAAGGGGAAGCAGGTGGGACAGGTCTGGGAGAATCCTTAAAACTTCTCAGGTTTCCTACCCTCAGAAAAGCAGTGTGTACATTCTTCCTTCCTCAAGAAAACCCAGAGTTGTCTCCATCTCTATCTCTGTGTCTCTCCACCTTGCTGGTTCCCATTCCCCCTTATTGTCCTTAGCTCTCAGAAAGAGCTCAAATCTCTCCACTGATCGCCCATCCCACCCCACTCCTTTCTCTCCTTACATGTGCTCTGCTTCAAATTCAGACAGGTGGAGCAGAATGAGGGCCAGCTAGTAACTTTTGTCCTCCACCCCGTCCCCCTCCTCCTCCCCCCCTCCTCCTCCTCCTTTTGACAGGGTCTCCCTGTAGCCCCAGCTGACCTGGAACTTGCTATGCAGACCAGGCTGTCCTCAGTATCATAGAGCTCCCCCTCCTCCTCCTCCTCCTCTTTGTCTTTTTGAAACAGGGTCTCCCTGTAGCCTCAGCTGGCCTGGAACTCATTTTATAGATGACTGTAGACCAGGCTGGCCTTGAACCCACAGAGATCTGCCTGCATTTGTTAGTGACTTCTTTAAGAAGAGAGATGCAGGTGAGGAGGAGATAGAAAATGTTCATTTGCCAAAGGGATGTATGCAGACAAAGGAGGAAGGAATGGAGTCAGGAAGGGTGGCCTGCAGAAGGGTTGAAGAGAAAAGGATTTTTGAGGTGGGAACAAACAGGTTTCTTTGTATTTCACATTTTTGGGGTGGAAAATTACAGTTGTTCTCAAACTTTTCCTCTTAAGATGTTCTCCATGGGGGACAAGACTCTCGGGTATAGGGAACTCAGGATTATTTTCTCACCCCAAATCTGAGTTAAGCCTATGTCTGAACTGGCTGCCCTGCATCACTCCGCATTTCCCTCATCCCAGGGGAAACCTCACCCAATCCCTTGGCCTTCTAATTAAGCAACCAATTTGAGGTCTAAAAGAAGAAGAAAATTCCAAAAGTGTTTACTAAAGCTGCATGAATCTACCTGGGAGATGAGGAGATACATTCCCCCCATAACAGATGAAGTCAATGTCACCCATAGTCTGTCATCAATGACAATAAAAAAAAGCTGGACCAAAGTACTTCAAATTACAAGTCAATGGCAGTGATGGTTTTAGCCTCAGTTCTCTAAATTCGTCATGTCTGGTTCATCCCTGAGTCTTGTCACTTCCCTTCTGGTAGGAAGTACATTAAAATTTCCTAAAATTCCTTCTAGCTCTTCAAAGCCCAGCAGCAAGGACTAGAAACTGAGCAGTTCAGGCTCCCTCCATCCCATGCCTCCTCCTCAGTAGCTTTACTGACTGGAGTGGATAACAGAATTTTCTATCTGGGCTACTGGAATTCACTGTAGAGTCTAAGTGAATCCAGCACTCAGAATAAAATAAGGCTGATTTCCTAGTTTGTATGATGTGCTTAGTCATGTATAGAACACAGGTATGTTTAGATCTCAAATTATCTTTTTTGTTGTTTTGTTTTTAAAATAGGCTTTCATGTAATCCAGGTTGATCTTAAACTCCCTCTGTAGCTGAGGATAGCCTTGAATTCCTTATCCTCCAGTCTCCACCTCCCAAGTGCTGAGATTATAGGTGTGTCCCAATATGCCTGGCCCAAACTTTTCTTTGAGCTTTGCTGGTCCTTATGCAAGAATATAGAGAAGCCAGTCTAACCAGAATAGGGATATGTTAGAAGTACACAGCTTGGATTCTAGTCATTTCTGTGGAGGAAGCTGGTCTGAGAAGTGGGTCAGGTTGGCAAGACCAAACTAACAGTTTTTTCATTAGACCTCAAATACATCTATCTGCTCTCCCCAGCCCTAATGGGTGGCAGGGAGGGGGCAGTGTCTCAAGATCAAAGGCTAGAGCTTTCAGAATTAGAAGACTATCCAAGTTTATGATTTTCCCACTATAGGAAATAGTTTCTTGCTATTGTAGGGAAAGGGATGGAATATGAATTCTGGATTGTTTCTTAGAATGTGAGCGAATTTAAGTGTTATGAATATGGTTGAGACATTGGGTGGTGCATATTATAATGCTGTAATGAGATGAGTACTAGATCAGGTATGGAATACATGCTTGACCATTGGTCCAAGTCCTTGCTTGGTCATTTCTTAATATTAGGACTCTGGACAAGCCCCTTGACTTCTCTGGGTCTCAGCCTCAAAAAAGAAGAATGGGTTTAATATGACTTACTTTGCTGCAGTGTTAGTAGGATTAGAGCAAAGAAGAAAATACCAACCATAGAGAATTCTGTAGATGTATGATAATAACATTACATGCACATTCTGAAAGAGTATGAGTCAGTCTTCTGTTTTTTAATATAACTAGCATATTAAAATATGGAAATATGAGACAGGAGAATAGCATGTGTACTATCCTTTTATGTAATGTATCACCATATATTATACAATATGTACTTCATCATATGCAAATTTCATTGAGAGTGGAGGAAGTTGGCTCTATTTAGGCAGACAATTTTCTTCTAAGCTAAAATGGTTTTGTTTTGTTTGTTTTAGGGTGTTTAATTAAAGCATAACATTCAACAATATACAAAGATCTCAAATGATAAAATTGCAGAGAAAGGTTTGAGGTTGGATTTAGAAATCAGTTCTTAATTTTCCAAATAGTTAGTGGAACTTTTTCAGGGAGGATGGTGTTGTTCCTTCTTCCTTAATGGTATTTGACTTAGAAACTGTCCTGAGAAATGGAAGGGCTTGAATCACACTTCTTGAATTTAGAGAATCCATCAGGACATAGATCTTGGGTGAATGATCTGGGAAAATGATTAAACAGCAATTGGGAGCTTCCTAAGAAAAAAAGCTTACAGTGTCATGAAGAACTAAAATAATGTTCTAGTTGATTAGGTTTATCCAGAGCTGAGGATATAGCTTAGTGGTCAAGCACTTGTCTAGTATGCATGAGGCCCTGGGTTCAATTTACAGCACTATGAAAAATAAATAATCAACAACAAAGGAACTGATAATTATGTTTATAAGGATATGTATATATGGGTGGATATATATATATATATATATGGTTTGGGATTTTTGTCTTGGGGGAGTGTTTGAGACAGGGATTCCCTATAGGCCCAGCTGATCTGGAACTCACTATATAGACCAAACTGGCCTCATATTACAGAAATTCACCTGCCTCTGCCTCCTGAGTGCTGGGATTAAAGACATGTACCACCATACCTCACCAAAGTATGATTTTTTTTAACAAAATATACACTTTGGAAAGCTTATCAAAACTTGATCAAGCCAGGCATGGGTAGCCCACAGTGGCACTGGGGAGACAGAAGCAGATGGATCTCTATAAATCTAAGGCCAACATGGTCTACATAGTGAGTTCCAGGCCAGCCAAGGCTACATAGTGAGACAGTCTCAAAACAAAAAGGGAAAAAAAAAAACAAAACTTGATCAAGGGGCCAGTGAGATGGCTCAGTAGATTGAAGTACTTGCAGACAAACCTGA